TTGTTTGTGTGTGTTTGTGTGCATTTTTGGTGGTGGTGGGAGAGAGTGGTGTGGCGGCTGAGTTGTGCTTAGATTTAGGGCTTTTGAACTTGTGTGATGCTCCTCTTTTCTTTCCATACTTGTTTGTAAGTAAAGGTTTTAGCTTTTTTTCTTTTGATCTTTGTGTATTTTTCGTTATTCGTGTGGTTAGTCTTTTCTGTTACTTGGTTAACGAGCTGCAGCATTTCCTTGTTTGAACTATTCTCCCTCAATTTTGGGGGTTTTGGGACTTTTGGAATCTGGTTTTTGTTCTTCTCTGCTATTATTTTGGAACTTGGTTTTTATTCGTAAGAATTGGTTGAGTCTCAGGGATGAGTTTTCCTCTTCTTTCAAGAGACTATTGGATTCTTTATTAAATTCTTCGTGCATTTCGTATTGCTCGGTGTTTTTCTTTTGGAGAAGCTTACAAATTTAGCACCTGCTTTTTTCTAGTTGTTTTGTGAGATCCTACCCCTGGTTTCTCTTGTTGCCATTTTTTTCTATGATGGTGTTGTCAATAAAATGCAATTGTGAATACATAAGTCTTGTTTCAAGTACTATTGTCTCCTTTTCATTTTGATTGTAGCCTTTTGCACGTCTGTTTATAAACATGCTGTTTCTCTTGGTTATTTTAGCTTCTTTTAAAGTGAATTCGTCTGTGTATGTCGGTCTTTTATTAGGTGGAAGTGAAAAGGGCTATTCCCAGGAGGGAACAACAAAGTCAACAACAGCATAATAGGGGAGTGAGTAGGGATTTTGGTAGGACTTATAACAATCGGAGCACTGACGGATTTAGGACAAAGAAAATTTTTGTAGGGGGTTTGGCGGCTAACTTGACTGAAGAAGAGTTCAGAAGTTACTTTGCAAAGTTTGGTAGGATCACTGATGTAGTAGTGATGCACGATAACATGACCCATAGGCCAAGGGGCTTTGGTTTTATAACTTTTGTCTCGGAGGGCTCTGTTGAGGAGGTTATGCAGAAGAACTTCCATGAATTGGCTGGAAAGCTCGTGGAGGTCAAACGAGCCGTGCCAAAAGAAGGGAGTAACAGTAGTGGAAATGGTTATAGTGGAAGGTTAGATGGTGGTAGAGACTCTAACTTTAATTCTTATCAGTCGGGAGACTATATGCCTTACAATCCAAGATTCGGCTATTTTCCCGCTGGATACTCATATGGACCTGGAATTTTTGGTGGTGTTTATCTTTCTAGTGGGTACAATGGAATTGGTTATGGGCTCTCTCCAGTGGGCCCAAGGAGTCCTTGGGCCCCTGCAATGGTTAGGGGCAGTTTTTTGCCGTATGCTAGTCCTACACCTGTTTTTCCTGCCTATTTAAATGGTGGGCCTAGTGTGATGGGTGTACCTCCAAATAGACATGGCGTGTTATTGGCAACTGGACTTAGTGGAAAACCGGGACAAATGGGCTTTGGAGATGGTCAACGTGTGGCCGAGTCGTCACCCTCTCAGAGTGGTGCGGTTAACTTAGGTAGCAATCATTTTGGTGTGGGTAAAGGCCTTGGAGCTGGCGTTAGCAGGCAGGGTAAAAGAGGTAACGATAAGCCTTACCGAGCAACTAATTCAAGCTGACTTATGCATATTGATTTGTGGATATTGACATTCTAAAAAAAATTCTCCCACTCGTGGGTCTGGGTATCAGTTCTGATGTATCCTGTTTAAATTGTCTTTCTAATCTTTACAACGATTTCGTGTTTTTTTTTTCCTTATTTTCAGTGTTGAAGATTTGTGGATTCAAGATTCAGTGATTGTATTATAATTTTTTTTTAAAAATTTATTTTGTCCTCTCTGTGCTGCTTTTACAATTTACATCTTATCGATGAGTTGGCTGGAGATTGAAGCCTAACCTGGATGAATGAGTTTGGTTTGGTAAACTATTAGAATACCTTTTATGACTTACTGTGACTTTGATAATAATTACCATGAGGGCTTCTTTTTAACTCAGGTTTGTCATAACTTAGCCTGTTGTCTCTGTTGTGAGCTCGATATCCCGGCTTGTTTTTTGGCAATCTCATTTTTATTTTGCTTACTATTTGTAGTAATGGTAACATGATTTGTTCTTGTGTAATTTCATTTGAAGCAAGAGACAAGTGAACCTCAAATGATTTGTTTGAAATGGCATTTTTTGCCTTGATCTGAATGGAATTGCCATTTCATTAAACCTATCAGCTAATTCTCCTGGGTTGTACACTGCCTTATGATGATTCTTTTATTTTGGTTTGAGTGATGGGGCCTGTATATGTTAAATATAAATATCTTATTGCTTTCTACTAGACATGGGCAATGGGTGGGCTGGTTTACAACCCGGACCGGCGGGTCGCCGGGCCTCAAAACTTGGACCCGGACCGGCGGTTCATTGCACTGGTGGTTTTTTAATAAAATATATTTAAACAATGACGGACACAGAACTTTTTATCAGCCAGGACAATATAAAATAAAAAAAATACTCAAAATTTTTGTCGTGCTTATTACATACGAATTTACCTTCTGCAAGAAATTTTCCATTCATATTTTTCTTCTCTCATTTTTTGGAGTTGTTTAGGCCTCTCAATTTAAAATTTAACTCAACTTTAGTTCAACTTCATTATCATCAATATTATCATTGATATTATCAATATAATAAAATAATATCATTCAATTATTCTTACACATTACAATTCATTATACATCTACTCACATAATTTTAACTATCTCTAATTTTTAATTATTTACCTCATACTTTTACATCAAATCAATTTTAAATTATTTTATTTTAAATATTATTTTAATACATTCTTAAATTTCCACTAAAAACTAATTATTATAACTTTTTTCAAATTAACTCTAGTTAATGGAAAAAATATAATTTTATTATATTATATTATATTATATTATATATTTTACAAACAAGAACGACTTTATTTGCCCTGACCAAATTCATGGCATTGACAATATCTTGATCATTCATTTATAATTCTAGTGATAACTCATTCCTTACATTCAAAATTTGCCGCATTAGAAGAAGACAAAAAATGAAATTAAAGGATTGTATGTGCACAAACAACAAATTACATTGTCCTCTCTGATCAGCAATAGTCTCATTCTCGATTATTATTTCAATAAATTTAATAATAGAAGAAAACATAGAGATAATGTTCAACTTCGTTTTATATAGACTATTAAAAAAAACATAAAATTGTTTCTATTATGTCTTGCAAGTTCTCCAACTTTATCTTTTCTTCCTAAATCTGTATTTGAAAATTATAACTACATATGTTTAACAGCTAAAATTCAGCCTGGGCAATTGCCGAGGCTGGCCATAGTGTAAATCCGCCCTTGTATTTAAATGAATTAAGTGGTAAGGAAAACACATTTCTCAATTTTTTAAGTCATTCTATATATACATATAAAAAGGAAACAATACAAAATATAGATAAAAATGCAAAAAAAAAAAATAAAAAAAATTATAATATATAAATAATTAAAACACATATTCTATGCTAAATTTAAAATGATAATATTATGCATTTTTTTTTAAATATACTAGCAATCTTATATATTACATCTCTAGATAAGTTTTTGGAAATATTTATAATGATATACTCTTTCAGCCTCTTAATTGTAAGTCAATTTAGTGATTTATAAAACCGAGTATTAGTTGGATTGTTATATTTCTTATTGTAGATTTCTTACTTTACTTTGTGAAATCACACGTTTTAACTTTATTTATTTTTTTTTTAAAAATTATCATTTGATAAGCTCATCAACAAAATGATATGCAATATATTGTAAAGTTCAATTTAAATCAAATGTCCAAAAAAAAAAAAAAAAAAAAAAAAAAAAAATCCCTAAATTATAGATGTTGAACTAAAATTATAAATACATGAAATCTCATATTTTTGTTTGTTTATTTATTTAGAAGTTTGAAGGTGATACAAATTTTATATTTTTAAAAACTTGATGATAGATATATCGAAATTAGTTTATATTATAAGTAAACACATTTTTATATAAAACGAGCATATCGACATTAACTACAAGCTCGTTATTTAACATTTAAAATAAGGCCTCCTAACTAAAATTTCTAGATATGTGCCATTGGGTCAAAATCTGTCTCCAAAGTGAACAAAAAACGCGCCTTTCCTAGAGTTATTGTCAACGGCATACTCCACGCGAGCCTGGCCGTACTTGATCCCGAGCCCATACGACGAACCTTGTCCCTGTCGCATGCTCGACTTTGTCGGATTTCCGGCTAAGCCAACCGAGCTCCCCAGATCATTTCCGTGTTCTGCAAACGCATAAGCAAAAGCACCATTCGTCACAGGTACGCGAACCTCAGCTGCCACCTGCATTCAAAAAGTAGTTGCACTTGAAATATTAGCAAAATTTTCGAGCTATAGGCGACAAACAAAAATGGCGAAGGGGTCTGCGAGCATAACAGAATATATGTTTTCAAGAAATCAATATAGACATAATTTCATTTTTAGTCCACTATATTAATCATTTTCCAGCAAATGTCCATCTTTTTGGCAGACATCAAACTTAGTATATTAATTTGAAAAATTCATCATACACTAATCCTAATCTGGCACTCTAACCATATAATATACCTCCAGTTTACGTCTGGACGCCCCAAGCTCTCCCATGTCGTAGCCCCTGACCGAATGTGGCCCGCCAATCGTAAAAGCTTCGTGATTGGGAAGGTCTCCCATGCAGTTCCCGAAAAGGCCGTGAAGGACTAAAACCGGGGGTGTGGGATT